TCTTCCGTTTTTCTTTTGAATAAGTAAACGGGATAGTCAGGATCTCGATCTCTCCCTTATCTAGACAGGAGGTCTCTTCTTGCCGACTGAGCGGCAAACGGAGCTCTCTTCTTTCTCGATAGTTTGGCAGGGCCTGTCTGCTTTTGTGAGATGGAGCTCTCTTCTTTCTCGATGGTTTGGCAGGGCCTGTCTGCTTTTGTGAGATGGAGCTCTTTGCTGTCTCATGAACTTGGACGAAGCTCTTGGTTTCTTTTTGTCGAGGATGGGGTAAAGGACTTGCCTTCTTGGAAGCTAGGGGAGCTCTGTCATCATTGTGTGGCCACCGACTGAACATCACAGTCCACGAATAATGCGGATACATCCGGCTTATTCTAAGCGCAAGCACGGTGCTGCGCAGCGAGCTACCATAATCAGAGTTGGTTTTCCTCCTTGTTGAACGTTCTGTAGCCCCTGGCTGCACATCACAGGAAGCACATAGTCTCCGCACAGTTCTCGCCCGGTCTGCTGTGCGTAACATGGTTCTATGAAGTTCTATGTGTTACATGTTAGGGCATGCGCAAATGCTGATCCCAAGCAATGTGTTCCGAATCAAGCGTGCAAAATGCTGTCGTCCTGATGGAAGGCTTTCCAGCCACTGACTGAGCGCCACAACCAGCACATGTTCTCCTTGAGCATGGTATGTGGGCAATCATGCGAGGATATTTGCCAGTGTGGGTGTGTGTGGGTGTGTGTGTGTGTCTGTGTGTGTGTGTGTGCGTGTGTGTGGGTGCGTACTGTATACTCTCACGTGAGCCCTTCCTGTAATATAGCACAAGGGACATGTCACATTATACGTAAAGGTTCCTGCCACATATATATATATATATATATATGCTCGCCCCCCCCCCCAAGATCTACGTCTGCAGGTTTTCGGAGTCTGGATTTCCTGATTTCCGGCTTTCTGCAGTACGTAGGTTTCCAGATTCCAGATTTCCATGCACTATGTTTCCAGAGATTCCAGATTCCAGATTTCCAGATTTGCTCACCCTAAGGTTTCCAAATTTCCAGAAATCTGGAATCTGGAAACCCTAAGGTTTCCAGAAATCTGGAATCTGGAATCTGGAAACTTAGAGCCTGCAAATCTGGAAATCTGGAATCTTAGAGCCTGCAAATCTGGAATCTGGAATCTTAGAGCCTGCAAACCTGGAAATCTGGAATCTGGAAACTTATCCTGCAAATCTGGAATCTGGAAACTCTAGGACGTGTAGAAACATGAGCATCAGCCGTGGCCTCATGAACATCCGTCGGCTTCGGGGCTGGTCCTAAAACCAAAACCAACTGGTCAGAAAGCGTCTTTGAGATTGATCATGGTCAAAATGAAGTGAATTTGCTTAATGTACCACCACACACAGCGAGGTCATGGGGGAGCGGCTCCAGTTATTGCACTGCCATGCAGCATCGCTGATGCTCATGATGCGCGTGTCTTGTCCGCCCCCAAACCTGCTGATGCTGGTCCTAAAACCAAAACCGCCTGGTCCGTCTCGTTCTCCCACAGCCGAAATCCTGAGCCAGTGAGTGTTTATGAGAGGGTCAAGTGAAGAGGGACATGCGATATGTGATGGGTGCGCAGCTGTGCACAATCAAGTGTGACTCCAAGCCTATTGAAATCTTGCCGCACACGAAGCCATGGAACTCCACCCGGACGAGGTGCGGTTCAACCGCACAAAACATGTAACGCTCAAAAAAATCAACTTTTCCAACCCTTGAAACGCACGAAACACTGCGATGCTCAAAAAAATCCAAACTTTTGAGGAATCTGCCCCCGGCCTGGCCATAGATGCCAGAATTTTAGAATTTTGAATTTTTTTGAGCAGTACAGTGTTTCGTGAGTTTCAGGGCTGGAAATTTTGTATTTTTTTGAGCATTACAGTGTTTTCTGATGTCCAGGACAGGATATATTGCATCACAAGATAATTGTGTGCTTTCAACCGTTGTCAAGGACTGGAAGTAATGATTTATGTGTCTTCTGGAACAACAACGGTTTTCATTACTCTTGTTTGGTAAGTATGAGAAAGGCCTAGTCGTTGCATAGTTTATTTCATGTATGTTTTCGGAGGTTGGTAGATCTATGGCACCAGCAGCACTGGCTCCAGTACCTGAGCTTTCTCGAAAATGGTTTTGGCCATTCTTCGGCAAGCTGCACCGCCTACAGATCCAACACTGTAGCAGCGCAAGCCTATCCAGAACTTAATTCCTTTTATGTTGCAGACTGTGGGAAACTGTTTGCATCTTGCTATCATCAGAAACAATGGAGACTTCCTATTCGGTTTCCTATAGCACATCCTCATACCTATCAAGCAAGAGACATGAAGATTCCTGCTAACCCAGAAGAAAATTCTACGATGTCACCTGTAGTCTTTGAAGACTGAAAAGAGCTCCTTTTCATGTTGTGAAGCGAACTATGACAGCGTTTAAACCACAGTCACAGACAGAAGGACCGGTATCGCTTTGTCAGGATGTGACGGGGGTGTAGAAACCGATACAAGTGTTACGCCTCTTGCCCGGTTAATAAAAGATACCAATAAGCAAGCTTCTCTTTGTTTCCTGATCACATCTGGGGAGTGTCGCTTGAAGATTGAAGAGAGCTACTTTTTTCCGCTACGTTCTATGACAGCAATTAGAGAAACAGCCATGGACATAGCGATCGGCATCTTCTCCGGGGTATAGGACAGCATCAATAACAGTTAACCGAATGAAAACTCATGGCCCAAATGAATACCCTCAAAAATAGATAGCGATGCTATGCACATGGCTGCCTTTAATATCGACTCACAACATAAAGAGGAGTTTTCTTCCATGAAGTGCCATTTCACTTTGTTTTACAAGGTTAAGGAGCCCCTGCCTTGTGATTGATACGTATCAATGCAGCCAGTCGTAATTAGTCCTGCTTCATGTTTGGAAGGTTGCAAGAGCTCTCTTACTTCTTGCTGCAGACGAGCCTTCTTGTGCGCCCGCATATGCACATGAACTTTCCACCTCCAGGGGAGCTTTCCCACATTTTATGAGGCAAAGAACAACTATTGGAGTATTGCTTCAAAAATAAATGCGCCCGTATATTCGACTTCCTCCATGTACAACGGACAGGACATGAAAGAAACTCTTTGTGTTTCGTAATTCATAAATCAAATGCTAGAGCTATTAGGCCGCATCAGAATCGGACGCTCACGAGCAGCGGGAAAGAGATGGCCCACGCACACAGACGTCTTCGGAAGAGAGACAATAGTGTTTGTATTATTAGAGGAATGTCGTTAAATAACCCACCATAAAACGCAAAAAACACGAGGCTTTTTAGTACTAACTGAACAGAAATAGCACGCCCTCCAGCATTTCAGCTTCTCCAACATATAAACAACCATAAATCTGCTGCCGAGATTCGGCGCCAGACTTTTACACATATCAAACCCGCGACTTGTAGATGCACTGTTTGCATGCACATGGAGTAAAGCACGATTGTATCGGAATTTACGGTGTTTTCGGCATATATGAGTAGTCGACCAATGTAGAGAAGCAACCTGTGGAATTGTGTGGAAGAGGCGGATGTAGATCTTGGCGGGGGGGGGGCGGGGGGGGGGGGGGACCACATATATATATATATATATATGTGTACATACATGCATACGTGCTGGCATGTTACATACGCAGGCAATGCATACGCACATTCACATACATCCGCATAAACACACACACATAAAAAACTCATGTGTTCATACACATGTGCATCTACAGCATAAACATATACATGCACATACTGAGAAACAT